TCGAGTAGAGATTTATGTCGATATGGTTGAAATTTTTTTTCTCCAATTTTGCCAGATGCTATATTAAATACTTTATCTTTGATATATCTTTGTTGGAAAGTACACTTGAGAAAGCATTCTTTTTGGAACCTATCCCTAGACCTATTTTTCAAGTTATCTAGCGGATACACTATTTTGGCCTCCTACCTGAAGCTTAGCATGTCCTACACTTGAACTCAGTCTTTTCTTTCTCCTAATAAGGAGCTCTAATATAAAGTAGAAGTAAGGACTATTTCCATTTAGGTAATGTTCTCTCAACTGAATTGCTATTACAGGTTTCTAATATGATTTCCTGTTATTTGTATTTATTATATTTATATTATAGTACGGATTCCTACAGAATGGGGGTGAGAGGAGCATCTGTGATACTATCTAGTAGTGTGTGAAAAGGTGGAGAAATGGCAGAAACCAAATTTGAGATAATGTTAACTACCTCTTGGAGAAAGGCAATGGAATCTGGGTAGTACGGGAGAGATTTTCAGTTATATCTGGATCATTTATTTATATATATATTTATATTTATACACACGCACACGCACGCTAGAGGCCTGGGTGCAACAAAATTTGTGCATGGGTAGGGTCCCTAGACCTGGCTGACGATCAGGGCGGATTGGGGCCTTCTGGCTGCTGGCCGGGGCCTCCCTTTGCCAGCTGCAGGCCAGGGTCTCCCTTCCCTGGCTGCAGCTTTCCTTCCTTCTACCTTGCCCCCTGGTGGTCAGCGCACGCCATAGTGAGCAATCTAACTCCCAAGGGAACAGTTTGCATATTAGCCTTTCATATATATATAGATGGATAGGTTTTTAAATATATTTTTATTGATTTCAGAGAGGAAGAAGGAGAGAGAGAGAAACATCAATGATGAGGGAGAATCATTGATCGATCTGGATCAAGCCTGCAACCCGGGCCTGTGCCCTTGACTGAATTTGAACCTGGATCCTTCAGTCCGCAGGCTGATAGCTCTATCCACTGAGCCAAATCAGCTAGGGCCATTTTTTATATTTGAACAAAGTAGTAAAAATGTTAAGCTTTACTTAACTATCAAGCTGGACACACAAATAATATACATACTTTAGGATATCATTTAATTTAAAAAATTAAAAGAACCATTTTGGGTGTACTATTGCTAGTATGTTAAAAAACCAAAACATGATTTGTCTTACTCCTGCTTAAAAACTATCCATGACTTCCCATTGTCTTTGAGATAATCTTGGACACAATATTCAAGGCTCTGAAAAGATTCAGCCCTGATTAATTTTTCTGGCCACACCTGCTGCTCCCTTACTGTAACCTGTTGTCTATGATATACCAAAATACAATCAAATTTTTACAACCTGTGTTCTTGCACATTCTGTCTTTGAATGAGTTTCTCTATTTAAAATGCTTATCCCTCCATCAGGAATCGGTTCAAATGTCATGTTGTAGTCCCAGGCAAAGCATTTGAATGCCTTTAAGTGCCTAGGTTGTTGAAATGTAATTTTTTGTTTTTGCATTATGCCTACTTTTATGTTAGCTCAGTCTATTGGGAGTGGCGTTCATGCTTTTTTTTATCTTGGTGTGTTCAGACCTAACATGCTTAAAAGGTTGTTTTCATACTAATGAATAAATGTTTTGGTGGTGAAACTTTAGCTAATAGCTAATGTTACATTTTTCATTTTTAGAAATGGGTTTAAATGAATCTCTAGTTTCTGTGATTAGATTGAAAGTTACCTCTTTGCTAGACCAGACATGTAACTTCTTCCTGTCCCTCCAATTTAATTTTGAGACTTGATTTAGTTTTCTTAAATGTTTTCCAGCAGTACTTGAGCATTACTTGAATGTTTTAGTGGGATAAAATCTGTATAATTGGTAATGGGTTCCATTAGCACTCTGCTTAAATGAGTCTATTTTTGTTTCTGGATTTACTCGAAGGAAAACTGGTGGTAGTTAACAATCAAGGCAACAGGTAGCTATAGGAACCAGAGCAAGCTATAACTTCGGAGCCTGAAATTGCCTATCTATATGCCATATCAGCTTTTGGCTTTCTGTCACCCAATGTGGTCTCTTTTTCTTTGGGTTCGCCATGTAATTTCAGGGCACATGCTTGCCAACAGTTCTGAGCCACATTCGTAATGGGACCTAGTTAGAGAAGGGAGAAATGTTACTTCTAGCTTCAGTTTGAAAAATCTTGGGCAGGTATACATGGACAAACTGATAAAGTCAAGTTGTGGCTTTGGTTACTTTCCAACTCTAAGCTAATCACTGAGGCTGAAGGAACAAATTCCACGATTAGCCCTAAGTAAGTGGTTTTTGGTGGCTGACAGATCACCCACACTATAATCACATGTTTGGAGTAAGGGAAAGTAGGATAAGATGGATTATTGAGTAGACAAAATGTCTGCTGTATAGAAGAACACATCTAAGAAGACTTTACTATGCTTTTTTCTCCTCTGCTAAGATATTTTTATATCTATTTGCTTGTGCTATGGACATAATAATGTATGACAATTATTATCTTAGAAGTAAATGCTGTTACCTGATTTAAAAACCTGTTTTGATCCTTAAAATAATTTAGGTCACTTTTTAATGTTCAATTTAAGTAGATTTTAGTACATAAATTAATTGGCCTGATTTCAGGTCTTTTGATTATTCAGAGGTGTCTTGGTCATGCAAAATAAGGCATTTAGAAATTAAGCAATGAGAACCTGCAGATAATGGGAGTAAAGAGTTGAAAACCGCCCTAACCGGTTTGGCTCAGTGGATAGAGCATCGGCCTGCAGACTGAAGGGTCCCAGGTTCGATTCCAGTCAAGGGCATGTACCGTGGTTGCGGGCATATCCCCAGTAGGGGGTGTGCAAGGAGGCAGCTGATGGATGTTTCTCTCGTGATGTTTCTAACTCTCTATTCCCTCTCCCTTCTTCTCTGAAAAAAAAAATCAGTAAAATACATTTTTTTTAAAAAGTTGAAATTCATTGTTAACTAGCTGAAATTAGACCTTTACTCTAAAGGAGTGATAATGGCAACATATAAAGGCTTAGTGATTCATAAATATCAGAGTGCAAAAAAACTGTAAGAAATATTTTCTTGATCTAATTCTTAATTAAAATGTGTAACTTTCAAGTAGTATATTAATACAGTATTCTAGGTCAACTTATATATTCTTGAACGTTTATTGTAATGAAGTTGTTTTAACATTACTATATTTTGTTAAAACAACTGTCATTGGTTTTTATTTAAAAATAACTGCTGGGTATTTTTCTTCAGGTATTTTTTAACAAGCTCATTATACTCAGAACATAATGTATTTATTCAGTACATAATTTGGGGTAGATCAATGTAAGAAACTCATTTTTTGTAATAATTGAATTCAAATGCTTACTGGACATTTTTAGGTAGAACCACATGAAATTGCAGTTTCTAGGGAAAAGGAGCTTAGTGTGTCACTTCCTTGGGACCCTCTCCCTACGTGGGAGCCTGTATTTGTTCCCCAATAAATTTCCACCTTTCCAAATAAAAAATTTTGCAGTTTCTGTTGTTTAAAATGGTCAAATATTAGTACAGTGGGGCCTTGGACTTACGAGTGTCCCGACTAATGAGTTTCTTGAGATACCAGCTGTCTCTCGGCCGATTTTTTGCTTTGAGTTGACAGAGTAATTTGAGTTAATGAGCTCCCTAATAAGCTCAGTCTCGGAACGAATTAAACTCGTAAGTCAAGGCCCCACTGTAATTTTATATGACTCAGGCTAATAGCATGGTTTCTTTAAAACCCCATCTACACATATTTCTTGAACTGCTGATCTTGTGTTATGGCAGTATAATTGCTAAACAACTGCATTATAGACAGCTAATCATAAAGATTCCTTACAGACAAAAGATTTAAGGGCTAATGCTTTAATATGTAGCCTATTAATGAAGCAATATTGCTTATTAATAAACAAATTATGAGTGCCTACTCAGGATGGGTGGTATGAAAGTGGTCTGCTTGTTGGTGAGTACCTAGTACATCATACGCCAGGTTGTGTGCCAAAGTGCTTTAACTCTCATTCATCTTCTCCAAACTTCTATACAAATAGACATTGCTATTTTAGAGATGATGAAATAAACCTAGGAAATAGTGGGTCTAGATTGGATTAAAAGTAAGACTTCAAAATGATACGCTATTCAAGGAGGACATAATGTTCTTATTTCAGGATGGTATGTTTGAGCATTTGAATTGGATGTGTAAGTGTTAGATCTTTATGTTCCTTAAGCAAAGAGGGAAGTAGGCTGCATAAGTTAGCTTCTGGTTTCTCTTCTTTTTAGTGGGCTAGTTACACAATAGAGTTTATTGTGTAAGTTTTAGAACATAAGAAAATTCTGGGTTCATATAAGACTATGCTTGATTCTTACAATAAAGTACATATATCTTGAAATGGTGTTAAAGTAGATTGTCATTATAATAAAAGTGGCTGATCATGGAATGCAAATAATTGTTATATAAGACTTGATCTAGCCTGTGAAAAAATCATTTGCCCAATAATGGATAGATGATTAATTCAAGTTGCCAGTACACTTTTTACTCAATAAAACCAAACTAATACTTATTTCAGAATAAATTGATACTTTGTAAGTTGTTTCTTAAAAGTTGAAATATGGACGGTTTCTCTTAATCTCTTGTTTAACCCTGAGATAAGAGTTCCTGTAACTCCTACTGATCAGAATCAAAAGTGTTTGGAATGAATTTATGTTAAACATGAGAGTATACTTATGTAGGAAGCATAAGGGTCTGGTCTGATACTATATCATCCTAGCATTGTGAATCCTGGGATCTTTCTGGCTGTCTTGATTACCTTATAAGCAGTTGTGGTGTGACTTTCAGAAGCAAATTAGCAGAGTGTATCAGAACAAATTTTTCCCAGGTTTTATTGAAAATGGGGTCTGGGTATAAGCAAATTGACTCTTTGCTTATTATAATTTGCTTATTATAATTTTCTGCTTTGGTGTAGGAACTTAGTGATTTGGCCCGTGACCCTCCAGCACAGTGTTCTGCAGGTCCAGTTGGGGATGATAGTAAGTAACTTTCAAGTTGATTTTTATGGCTAATTTCATAAAAGCTTTACATTTTTAGATAACAAGAGTTTTTTTGTTTTGTTTTGATTTTAGTGTTTCATTGGCAAGCCACAATTATGGGACCTGTAAGTATTAACAATTTAAAATTTTGTGCTTAAAATTCAGCATCCATCTAGTTGTAATTTTTAACTTAGTCTTTACGTTTCTTGTATTACATTGTAATTCTGTTTTGAATATGCCATAGTTGTACTTTTCTTTTGAAAGAAAGAGTAATTAAATGAATTAGTCATTTGTTATGTATACTATGTGGGTGTCCCTGTGGTCTAGAGTATAGCATCTCTTAACCTACCAAATATCTCTTCACATCGATCTAGTTTTCTTTCATAGCAGTATAAAGCATTGTCACAGAGTTTCCTGTTATTTGTACAGCCAATTAATTAACTGGCTCTACCAGGGTGTTACTCAAAAGATTATTCAGTTAACATCCCCAAATCTAGTTTTAATTGTATTATTTTTATATTTGATTCTTTCTGGAACTTTTGGTATTATACAAAATTTGAATATTTTTAGGTAGAAAGAGATATTTTGAATACAGCAAAATTCCTTTCTATCCTGGGTAGATAAGAAACTGTATATGCTGGATAATTGAATATTCAGAATTATGGATACCATCTAAGAATTGCACAGAATTAGAATGCAGTAAAACATCCTGGGGTAAGACTGTATCTTGAACAATACTTAACACTTTTTTTTTACGTGGAAGGCACTTTCAGATTTCTATACTATTCTGTGTGTCATAACTGAATTTTCTGTTTTCTTCCCTTTTTGATTTAATCTCAACATAAATGGCAATAAGGTATTAGGGAAGATAACGGTCAATAAGTAGATGTTTATAATTCTAAAAGACCTTTGGAAAAGTTGGCCAACAGATGGATTGGATCAAAAAGTGTTTTTCAGCAGTTCTGATTTTGATAATTTCAATCTTTTTTTCTATCTCAGCCAATGTGAGCCCCCTGCCTGTGTGCTGTTAAGGATACAATAGACACAATTCCTCTCAAGCTTTAAGAAATTTAAATGTACTGGGAGAGACAGGCAATTAAAACATGAGAAATAAGTAATACGTGACGTGCTTAGTAGGAGAAATAAATTGAGTTAGAGTAATTATGAAATGTTTTGACCCTAGAGGTAAAGAGATTAAGAATCAAATCAAACTTGGGGGATTGTATTTAGTTTAATAATTTGAATAGATGTGAGTTATACTAATATCTAACAAATCAGGATTATTCATTCCCAATATCAAGAGCAATTTTTACTGCTTTATTTTACTTTTAAAGTGATTCTGTCTGATTTGGTAACAGAATTGTTATATATATATATTTTTCAATATATATAATTTACTAGCGGCTTTACCCACTTTGGTCCATGAAGTGTTTTAAAAGCTGATAATCTCCGCAGTTAAAAAAACAAAACCCTGACTAGGCTCTCATTCCCACGAGCAAAAATGGCTTGGGACAGAGTGGCAGCTGGTTCCCTTTTTAATATGGGGTTTGTCGTAGTTCTACCAGATTTACTTTATTTTGCCTACCTAGATAGAATCTGTAGGCACTTGAAATTGCAATTTCTAGAATTTTCCCATTGTAGATCACCCAATTTTCAAAGCAAAGAATTCAGTAGAACTCATTATCATATCTATCAAATAAAGCTCATCTTTGATCCAGAGGGTGCTTTGAGATAATTTTATTATAAAAATTAGTTGTCAGTATTAATACCCGAAAGAGTTGGTAATCAACTCTTTGGTGTGCATAATAAATCAGCTCTTAAAACCAGTGTAATGTTTTTCTGCTTGACTTGAGATTTCACTTATTATTCTGTTCCAAAAGTAAGGAATATACCTATAGTAAAGTTAAAGTGAAACATAAATGAGTAGTTTATGCTAGTAATTTTTCAGCGAATAGAAGATAGAAAATTGCTTACCCTGACAATTTTTTAAACTCTTTACTTCATTGCTTTTATTTGCAAAAAAATCTTCATTTTATATATTTTAGATTATGGCTATTCTTGCTAAATTATTTTTCAGGAGCTGTTTGTTAATCCTCACCCCAGGATTCCCCCCCCCCCCCCCCCCCTTAATTTTTAGAGAGTGGAAGAGAGTGAGGGGGAGAGAGAGGTAGAGAAACATCCTTGTGAGGAACACGTTGATTGGTTGTCTCCTGCGAGCCCTGATCAGGTCAGGAATCAAACCTGCAACAGAGATACATGCCCTGGCTTCAGCAGCCTTTTAATATAATATTAGTGACTAGTTGTTTTCTGCTTTTAAAAGGACAGTAATTTGGTTTTCAGAACTATTTAAATATTCCCTGATTAACAAAAGCAAAATATTTAAGCCGCAACTACAGTTTTGCTTTGGCTGCATTATTTTCTGAAATGTACTTGTTTTCTAAGAGATTATTTCTTACTACTTGGATAATTTCAGGAAGTAGTCAAAGGTTACAAAAACTCACCCAAAATACCAATCTTGTCCTCTTTATAAGTAAGCACTGAAGTTTAAGTGCTGACTTGTAAGTAATTAATGATTATCATTGATAAAACAGCTCGTTATATTTTTGGCTTTTGATACCATCTTTATGTCAAAACATAATAATTTGATTAGGTAAATATACCTTATACCTTATTTTGTTAGTACAGTGGGGCCTTGACTTAACGAGTGTACCGACTAACGAGTTTTTTGAGATACCAGCTGTCTCTCTGCCGATTTTTTTGCTTTGAGTTGACAGAGTAATTTGAGTTAACGAACTCCTTAACGAGCTCAGTCTAGGAACAAATTAAACTCGTAAGTCAAGGCCCCACTGTATGCCTACCTTATATGTGATACAGATGTGACCTAAAAGAACAGGGCAAGTGGTGACGTAACAACCCATAATTGCAGATTTGCTGGAAGAACAAATAGTAACAAAATTATTTTTGCTTGGAGTATTTTTTAGTTAAGTTAAAGTAATGACAGTGCCAAGGAACTCAAGATTTTTGACTTTCTAAGGAATAGAACATCTAATAAATTTTAGTACAGAGTCACTGTTGAATTTTAGTGGATTATAGTCAGGAATAGCTGTTGGTCATTAGAAGTTACGAGGCAAAAACGTTTGGTTCTAATTCAGAGGTTCTCAACCTGTGGGCCGCGACCCCTTTGGGGGTCAAACGACCCTTTCATAGGGGTCGCCTAAGACCATCGAAAACATATATAATTACATATTGTTTTTGTGATTAATCACTATGCTTTAATTATGTTCAATTTGTAACAATGAAAATACATCCTAAATATCAGATATTTACATTACGATTCATAACTAGCAAAATTACAGTTATGAAGTAGCAACGAAAATAATTTTATGGTTGGGGGTCACCACAACATGAGGAACTGTATTAAAGGGTCGTAGCATTAGGAAGGTTGAGAACCACTGTTCTAATTATATGTGTTAGCATATTCTTTTTGAAGGTAACATAAAAAGTAAACCTTTGAAAGAATTAACAGAGCATTGCTTAGTTAGGCAATTTTTAAAACTTTGGCTGGTAATTCCTATTAAGAATTGATGAGTTGAAAAATTAACTTGCCTATTGTTTCTGATATTTACATGCCTGATTTTTCTTTAATTGGAAATGGAGCTGTCAGAAAGATATTTTGAAATTCTTTGGAAAACCACACTGACTTCTACCTAATCTATGATGAAGCCATAGAAGAAAGTACAGGCATACCTCAGAGGTATTGTGGGTTAGATTCCAGACCACCTCAATAAAGCTGATATCACAATAAAGTGAGTCATAATCTTTTTGCTGGTAAGCTGTCTTGGCTTCAAATTGTTTTAAAAAACAAAGTGACATCCCTGAAGTGTAGTAAAATGAGGTATGGCTGTACCATAATTGTGAATAATGTAACCATTGGTAGCCTGAGCAAAATCAGCCACGAAAACCATCTGAAATAATTGGGTCATTGGTATTTTATTAGTTCATTTTCCATTTATATATTAGGTCATTTCTTGCAAAATCTAATGGATACATAAAAACTCTTCCCTTCAGTACCTTGCTCTTTAAGAAGCTTTGTAGCCCTAACCGGTTTAGCTCAATGGATAAAGCGTTGGCTTGCGGACTGAAGGGTCTCAGGTTCGATTCCGGTCAAGGGCATGTACCTTGGTTGTGGGCACATCCCTAGTAGGGGGTGTGTAGGAGGCAACTGATCGATGTTTCTAACTCTCTATCCCTCTCCCTTCCTCTTTAGAAAAAAATCAATTATATATATATATATATATATATATATATATATATTTTTTTTTTTTTTAAAGAAGCTTTGTAGTCTAGTGGAAAAGGGAACTACAAGTAAATAAGTTACAAGAATGTTGGGCATAGTAACTGTAGAGTTGGGGGTATAAGAGAGGGGCAGCCAGCAGATTGGACTGTAGGAAGGCAGTATTTAGGTATGGTCCTGCAGATAAAGAAGATAAGGACATGTCAGAATATTTCAAGTAGGGGGTAAAGGACATATGAAGCATACTTACTTATGTGCAGTAATGAGCATATTTTGGAGGAAAATTAAGCTGACTTCGTTGGTGGGAACCAGATCATAAAGCACCTTGGGTGATTTGGACTTTGAACTTTATCTTGAAAGCTGTACTAGATTTCAAGCAGAGTAATAACTTGTATCTTTTTAAAAAATATATATATATTTTAAAGGTTTTTTACAGAGAGGAAGGGAGAGGGATAGAGAGTAAGAAACATCGATGGGAGAGAAACATCGATCAGCTGCCTCCTGCACACCCCCTACTGGGGCAACCAAGGTACATGCCCTTGACCGGAATCAAACCTGGGACCCTTCAGTCCACAGGCCGACACTCTATCCACTGAGCCAAACGGGTTAGGGCTATAACTTGTATCTTTAAAAGACTACTTCAGCAACAGGGCAAAGATGTAGTGAAGGCAGGAATACCAGTGCCAAGTCATTGCCATAATGATAGACAAAAGATGTAGTCCCCCGTTTTCCATGGCAGGGAATATCTTCCAAGATCCCCAGAGGATGCCTGGAGCCATAGAAAGTGCCCAACCCTATATATACTATGTGTTTTCCTATGCATACGTCCCTGTGATAAAAATTAATTTGTAAATTAGACATTTACAACAGTAATAAAAGAGAACAATTATAACAGTACTAGAAGCCCGATGCACAAAATTTGTGCAAGGGTAGGCCTTCCTTCCCCCAGCTGCCAGCACCGGCTTCCCTCTGGCACCCAGGACCTGGGCTTCCCTGGCAGCCCTGGCTGCGTCTGGAAGGACATTGGTCTAATTAGCATATTACGCTTTTATTATTATAGTATAGAAAAAACTATGTGGGTTTTCTCAAAATATCTTATTGTACTGTATTCACCTTTTCCCATAAAAGTGCTTTTGGCTTTACTTTGGCCTATACGAATTGCCAGTGTCACCACTTTTGCCCTTTGGGCCCTTAAGTAAAACAGATTACTTGAACACAAGTACCACAATACTGTGACATATCTGATACTAAGTGACTAATAAGCAGGAGATAAGCCTAGGTATGCTGGACAGAGAGGGATGCTTCATGTTATGGGTGGGATCGAGTGGGACAGCACACCTTAAGAACTGCATGTGTCCCAAGCTGATTTGGCTCGGTGGTAGAGCAATCGGCCTGCAGACTGAAGTGTTCCAGGTTCGATTCCTGCCAAGGGCACATGCCCAGCTTTTGGGCTCGAGCCCACAGTAAGGGGCGTGCAAGAGGCAGCCAATCAATGGTTCTCTCTCATCATTGATGTTTCTATCTCTCCCTTCCTCTCTGAAATCAATAAAAATATATTTTTTAAAATACTGCATGCAATTTAAAACAAGAATTGGTTATTTCTTGTCTTGAATTTTTCATTTAATATTTTCTGACTGGGTAACAAACTGCAGAAATGAAACCACAGCTAAGGAAGGGATCACTGTAGTAAGATCTTGAGCTAAGGTAATAGGGGCAGTGGGCATGCCAAAGGAGAGTAGGATAATTCAAGAGATTTTAAGGCTCATTACAATTTGTAACTACTTTGAGGAGATGAGACAGTCAGTGATGAGATCCTGATTTGTAACTGCTATTGTCATTTCAGTTTTGGACATATGAGACGTCTAAGTAGGAATATTTGTAGGCATTTGAATATATGTCCTGGAATGAAAAACATCAGAGCAAGACTCAAGAGTATGGGTCAGGAGATAAAAGCAGAAGATGAATCTGTGTGAATGTTAACATTTTAGGCTTGCCTAGTGGAAGAGGATAGACACTGAGAAGGAGCAACTTGGACTGATAGGAGCAAACCAGGGTAGAAGGTGTGGTGTCTAAAGCAGAGATTCAATAAAAATCCTGGGTTTCTAAGATTTGGGTCAGTTTACTGATCAAAGTATTCCTTTTTTTTTTTCTTTGTTGTATTTTCTGTTTGACAATTTATGGTAAATTTGGTAGAGAATTTCAGGTTTTTTTGATGGCATAGCTTATTACTCTGAATCTTGTGGTTATACCAGTTTTTCCTCTTTGTAGAATTTTAGTGTTACATTGTAACCTTGAAATATTTTCATTTCACAATTTTTTTTTTTTTTTAACAAATGAAATGAAATTTGGCTTTGCCTAAATCTCATCATTAGATTGCCTTTTCAGAAGCAGTCAGATAATAGCACTTGACTGTTGAAACTTGGAATGAAGGCTTAAAAAACTTTTGGACTTGGATTTTATAAGAACTTTTTAGGATTATCTTTAAATTGTTAATTGTATGAAGTATAGACTAGATAGTACAAAAAGGAAAGAGTTTGGAGTACAAAAGACTCAGTTTAAATTGTTCTTTCATTTCCAATTTGCATGTTTCTTTGAACTTGATTTTTCATCAGTAAATTGATTTCTTTTAAACCCCAGGTATATCCTGTTCAATTTTCCTCTCTGTAACATATCTCATTGCATGTCTCTTTACCAGACTGTAAGTCCATCAAGATAAGAAATTGTTCCGTCTATCCCTTATACATACCTCCTGTATAGAAGGGAGTTAGATTAATTCAACTAGTACTTAATTATTTTACAGAGCGCTGTGGGTTAAATGAGCTATATTAAAGTGTCAGAACTATAGAAGTTTTTATTTGCCTAACACCCAGAATGGGCAAGTTAAAAAAACTCATTTTACGCTATGTACATACTCTAGTCACTCTAAATTTTCAAATAACATCTTTGTCTATCCAAGGGCAATTAAGCAATTTTATATTTTCTATTACCTTAAAATCCTGACTCTGTCATCATTCTTTGATTGGTGTTGATCAGTGGTTTTCATAAGATCTGGATTTAAATCTTGGTTCTGTGATACATTATTTGTGCACTTGAGAATTTTAAATTCCTTCTTTAAGCCCCTCTTTATTCATCCATAAAATGGGGAACAATGATATCTTTTTCTTGGTATTGGTTAAATTAATGTAAAGTCCTAGCAAGTAGTTTCATGCAAATGTTGCTTCATACTAATGTATGTAATACTTATTTGCTAAGTGAGTTCTTCACAATCAAATTCTAATAAGCAAAACAACAAAGGAGAAAGAACATACTATAACTTGAAAATTTGTTTTCTGTTGAAATGTAAGAACAAATCCACATTGTTTTCCAAATCTAGTAATCCTGTGAATTGATTTGCTGTGGAGAATTCAGTATGCTTTTGAAGAAAAAACTTCCATGGTGTTAAGTGAGAAGTTTGAGGTGCCAATTTGGAATTAAACTGTCTTTAAAAAACCTATTTATTTCTGTTCTGCTTCTAGTGAAGGTAGTTGTATGTTACCTGCAATAGTTAACATTTTGGTTTGCCCGTGGCCAGGATGATACAAAACCATTTGTGTGTATATTACTATCATTCTACAAATGTAAGAATTTATTTTCAAATTATAGTTTAATAATATTGCATATTGACTTTATTGCTAAGTATACTTTTGTGAAAATCAAGACCTAGAACATTTGTTTCTGGATAAATTTTTAAATTCTTTGGTGACTTATGTAAAATGGGAAGTAGTAGGTAATTTTGTTTTGTTATTAGAGAAATGCTTAGAAAATAGAAGTGTTACATTTGGATTATTTAACAGTAATGTTTTAAGTATCAGTTAAGCATATTTTTTTCCCCACAGAATGACAGCCCATATCAAGGTGGTGTATTCTTTTTGACAATTCATTTTCCTACAGACTACCCCTTCAAACCACCTAAGGCAAGTATCTCCTCTCCCTCCCCCCAAAAATCTGTTAGTGTTTAGATTTATATTTTATTTCAGAGGAATAAGAGAATTCTTAATAATAGAGAACAGACTGACAGCTGTCAGGGGAGGAGGGTTATCTGGCTGGGTGAAAAAAAAGGTGAAGGAATTAAGAAAAAATAAATCTTGTAGGCACAGACAACAGTATGATGATTACCAGATTACCAGAGGAAAGGGGGGATGGGAGGAGGTAGAAGAGACTATAGGAGGGATAAATGGTAATGGAAAGAGACTTGGGATGGTGAACACATAAGATAATATATAGATGTTGTATTATAGAATTGTACACCTGAAACAATATAATTTATTAGCCACTGACACCCCAGTAAATTCAATAAAAAAGGAAATTAGGGTTTTGCATAATTAAGGCTAAAATTGATGTAATATATAATGGATAAGAATAATTGAGGCTGAATATATATATATATGTGTGTGTATATATATATATATATATTTTTTTTTTTTTTTAAATTGAGTCATTGATAAAGAATGCTGACTCTTAATCTTTAGTTAAAACAGAAGCTAGACCTGGATTTGAATTTTGTAAATGGAGGTAAGGAATACCTTATCTTTAATGTTGTCAGGCTCAAATACGCTATGTCGGATTCCCTCCCCCCCCCCCCCCCCCTTTATTGTTTTTATACAGATTTCGATTATTAACCCTACTATCTTGTAATAGTAGGTTTCTGGTGTTCAGTTACAGAATCCTTGTGCACATATTGCTGCAACTTATACTGTCACTGTGTTGGAGTTTAGGCAGAGTATAATTACTTTGGGAATTAGAGTTGCTTAATGCACTGACTGAGGTGGGCTGGTTTACAGGTGTCAGAAACATATGTTCTTTTACTTTTCAAAGCAGTTGACAAATTCTCAACCTATGCAAATAACTATAGGAGATAATATACATATAGAACATTGACACTTCACTATGACCATCTTCATCTTATGGGTGCAATATGACATTTACTTTAGATGAAACACCTAGGTGATATTCAAAGGTGTATACTGTATTTTATGTACAGTGGAAATGCAAAGTCAAATCTATACCTTTGTAACTTGATACCTTAAATTAGCTGGTCTATAAATTTTGGTTTACAATCAGCAGTTTCTTTATTTTTTAATGAGTGTTAAAATTAAATACCCTTCAAGTTACTCTTTGATACTTATGACATGGTAGGACCAAAGATAACCTTCGGAACATTCACTATACTATTGAGACTACAGTGGAACCTCATTTTTTGAACATCTCCCATCTCGAACAATATGATAGATAACCCTTTCATGCTGATACCTGTATGATTAGTCACACATCCTTCAAGTTACAAAGAGAATATGTACTCAAATATGAGTTAAAATCTCAGGATATTATTTATACTGTGAATATTTGTGTGCTTTTTGCTTATAATTGTTAAATTTTCATTTATTGTATATTTCCTTTGTTAGATTTTCATTTATATTTCATGTCCTTTTTGTTTTTTTTAAGATTAAACAGTACAATAGACATGTACTGTATATAATAAAGATTAAAATGGAATCATTTGAGGCTCTGGGACATTTAATTTACATTATTTCTAACAGGAAAAAATGATTCTGTTTTCGAACAGCCTACCAGAATGAAGTAATTCGAGAAACGAGGTTCCACTGTAATACTCTTGCCCCAAAGTTATATTTTTCATTGTAATTAAAAAAGAGGGAACTCTTGAAGGATTTTTGATCAGAATATAAAAATCAGTTTCTGTAATTTTTGGTCTTTTTATGTATATAAATTAGGTTTTAGTGATTTGATTTTTAAAAACTATGATATTTTAAGCCTTGCTAAAAGTCTTCTACAGAACCTCTACCTAAGTTAGGATGCTTGTTTTTATTTAGGAGAAATACCTAAAGGTTTTTTATTTATTTTAGGTTGCATTTACAACAAGAATTTATCATCCAAATATTAACAGTAATGGCAGCATTTGTCTCGATATTCTAAGATCACAGTGGTCTCCTGCATTAACTATTTCTAAAGGTAAACTAAAGGAATTGTCTTGAACTGCTCTGATTTTCTAATAGTTAAAGGAGTTTTAGTTTTGCACCTACTTGTCTGCGTATTATCCTGACTTTGGTAAGAGATGGGGAAGGAATAAGTTATATCATCTTTGCTCTTTTTGCATTATTGATTAAAGAGATTGGTGGGAAGAAGGTAAAATTCAAATTAGGGTGTTGGGGCATTGTTTTCAAATAATAAAAGCAAAGTGATTTCTGTAGTATTTTTCAGTCTTAAGCTACTTGTACTTCTCGCTTGCTTACTTGCTGTCTTTGAACTAAAATGGCATACCTAAATTTAATAGAGCTTTTAAATTTTGAGGTTTCCAGTACAAGGTAATTTTGATTTTGCTGTTACGTGTTTATTATTTAAGATTAAAAAACATTGATAAACCTTTATTAAGCCCTTTAAAAAAATTTAAGGTATGTGTTATGAGAACATGATAGTTTGTTACTACTTAATAACAGTTGAAAATTAGAGAATCTTCTTGGAAATCTCTCTAGATCAGTTCTGCTTTTCTACCTTTAATAGGGATTTATTATGTGACATCTCTAATAGGTTGTCTGGTCTTTGTATGAATATTCTAGATGGAGATATGGAGTATCTCTCCATCTTTATCTCCTTTTTTTATCTCACTTTTCACCCCACAGATAAAAATCACCTACCACAAAACTACTTAATGGGAAGGAAGTCTGCCTTCAAGTAATTTTCAGTTTTTGGTATTGGCTTAGCATTCCTTAGGTACACAAAATTAGATTTTTAATGTTGTGAGTATGATAAATGCAAACTGAAACAGGATTTAAGACAGGATATCATAAATTTTTTCATATGTTTGTATAATGCATTTGAATCTCCTTAAGGGGTAGTACAGGATTTCTCAAACTTTTGACTAGAATCACTTTTGGGGGGAGAGAAGAACAATTTGCTGCCATAATTTTTTCAAGTGTGACCTAATTTTAAGACCTGTTTTCACCCTCTTGGAGGCATTTCCATTTTCTTTCAAGTTAGGCTCTCTTACCCACCTGGTACGTGGTATTTTGATTACCTTAAATAGTAGGTCCCAAGTTTTTTGCCATTGCTGGGAATGCACTATTACATTGAACATTATGTTTCTGTAAGTACAGGCTGAGTTTTATATCTGCTCTCTTGCACTTGGGTTTAAAATTATATTTTCTGTAATAATATATTACATTGATGCTTTTTTATGGTTTTTTTCTTTGTCTTCATCTAAAGATTGTCATACCCACTTCAAGTTTTTATATCTGAAAATTGCATAACACCTTGCACAATGTCTGGCACATCCTAGGCATTTAAAATGACAGATTTAATGATGCTTGGCATCTTCCATGTTGAATAGGATAAGGGTAAGAGTTAGCATTGAAAGCTCATTTAGTAATAGGCCACGGTGTTGTTTCATTTAGTCCGTACTTTTAGGTATGTGGCCTCTACCTTGTAAAGTCAAGGGAAGGAAACATAGTCAGTGGAGCAGTTAGGAGTTTTTGTGAAACTTCTTAAGGGGAGGGCAGGATAGAATGGATTTTTTTTTTTATTATACTGTACAGCTAAGAATAGTATGGTATGGATGTTCCCCAAATATATTCCTATTAAAGCTATTTTTCTCCCTCAGTACCAAGAAATTCTAGTGACTTAAATTCTAATGCCACCTAGTTAAAGAATAACAATGCCATTATTTGACTATCTTGGAACTCTGGAGTTTGGCAATATTTTTATAGCTAGTACTAAACCCAACAAAGCTCTATTTTTAGCATGTTTTTTTTACCAGGACCTTGTCTCCCGTGAAGCAAAATATCTGTAAATATTTTTCTCATTAAGTTGAAGATATAAAGTAATAAAAATCTTTTGAAGATTTAGGTTTATAATAGCTTTTGATTTCTAGTTTCATACTGTTGTGATCAGAAAAGATGCTTTATTAAGTTTCAGTCTTGAATTAATTGAAACTTGTTTTATGGCCTACAGTGTTACCTGTCCTAGAGAATGTTCCATGAACACTTAAAAAGAATGTGTATTCTGCAGTTTTTAGATGAAATGTTCTTAAATATATGTTAAGATCAACTGGTGAAATGTGACATTTCAAGCCATTGTTTTCTTACTGATTTTCTGTCTGGATGATCTATCCTTTGATGTAAATGGGTATAGTAATGTTTTTAAATGCACTTTTAAAAATTCAAAATTCCGATGCTGGGTAACCACATTTATTTTCTTGCAGTTCTTTTATCCATTTGTTCACTGCTATGTGATCCAAACCCAGATGACCCCCTAGTGCCAGAGATTGCACGGATCTATAAAACAGACAGAGATAAGTAAGTATGTAGTAGTTTGTAATTTTTCTGAATGAGTTAGGTTTATACTCTGCTGTAAGTTGTGGCAATGCCAAGAAGACTTGGTGCTAATTTCTGGTAAGATGATAGTCATTAGTAGGTTTTAGTTATGTGACAGTGAATAATAGCCCCTCTAAAATGTTTTATTTTCTAACATGTTCAACACTGTCACTTTAATTATTAAGTTTTGGGGAAGAAAGCAAATTCTTCACCACAATTATGTTTTGAAAATAATATTGGTACTATTTTAAAACTTTGGTCTAAATTTCTCAAATATCTGAACTATTTTTATGTACAACTTTACCATTATAATTTTTGTATTTATAATTAACACTAAGTATACTTGTTCAATTAGGTACAATAGGTTAGCAAGAGAGTGGACAGAGAAATACGCTATGTTGTAGGGTAAGAGGATCTGCACTCTATGGTGCGCTTATTCATGGTACTGCCAGCACTTGAGTGCTGCATGCTTTAAGGCACTGTATTAACTAACAAATGGTAACCAATGCAGCAGTTTTCTGAAAACGGTTCTTTAACTGCTTGATCTCTGTTTAGCGTGAAAGAATACCCAGTAGTTATTGCTTGAGAGTATTTTTGCATGACAAAGTCATTATATAGCACTAGTAAGAAATGGAAATTTAAATAATAATCTTTCAAACCTCCATGGTGTTTACATTTTTAAATTAGTATATTTTAAACTTTGTACCAATACTGTATGGAATGTAATGATATAGTTTAGATTTTGCTGAGATAATAATGTAAGGGGGGAAACTTTTAATTAAGCCTATGCCTTTAATTAAGCCTATGCCTATAAACTAAATGTTCATTACTGACATGCATGCAGTAGTGTTAGCTCTACTTTGTGGCTCCGTATATGCTAAGTGAAACCTTTGTTTAAAAGTGCTGGCTTTTTGAGAGGGTATCCTTAAATAAAAGTAACCATGAATTGGTATAAAGAACTTCTATATGTTAAAGTTGAGAAAAGTGCTTGAACCATGTTTAGTTCTTGTTGAAATGAAGATAGTTAATACTTTATAAAGTTCAAAACTGTAAATATCTAAAAGTTCTGTGCCCTTTGACATATATTCATTTCTTAAGGTTATCATTATGTTTTTTGTTGCTAAGTAAGACTATGGAATGGGTGTAATGGAGAAATTGATGGCATTTATCAATATTAGTGATCTTCCTCAGCATAAATAACCTTGCTTTTGTGTGAATTACCTGTTGATTTTTTTTAAGCGAAGTTATTTCCAGTATAGAGGTCCTCAAACTTTTTAAACAGGGAGCCAGTTCACTGTCCCTCAGACATTCCACACATGTGCACTGCGGGCCCGGGACGAGTCTGCTGCTAAGCAGGACAGGCAGCAGCGGCAAAAACACCCGGCGGGCCGGATAAATATTTTCGGCGGGCCGCAGTTTGAGGACCCCTAGAGATTCCAATTCATTAGGTCTCAAGTGAGGCTTGTTATCTCCAATCACCACACTATTTGAAAATAACCCACGTGGTTCTAATTGACACATACCACTCACACCCAGCTCTTGAAAACTACTCTTTTACCATCCTCTCCAATGTCTTAATCTTCTGCCTGTGCTTAAGTCTTTAAAGGCATTTTCTGATAATACTCAGGGTCAAAGTCTAGGATTCGAATAAAATGGTTTAGCTAACTGTTTTGTTCTGGCTTCGATGGAAATTTCTATAGATGTACAGAATGTGTGTGCTGTTCTGACAACTCCATGATGAACTGTAAACTTTTTTAAATGTTAAAATTAGTTGGAATGGATACTAATTGTAGATTTTCTATGAGAACATTAGCTCAGTTGGTAGGGCAGATAAAAGGTCTTTGATTTTTGTTAGCTTCCCCAATCTCAGTGCCACTTTGTTGTGTTTATTAAAATACTACATTTAGTATTCTGGAGGCATAAGGTTCTTATTTTCCACAGTGCTTTGAATACCAATACTATTTCTCCCTGTTGGCTTTATTCTAATCACAGCCATTAGATGACTTTAAAATGAGTCTGGAGGTAAAATAGAAGTCTTTCCCTTTTAAGTATTAATTCTTTAACTTTTTAAATAACATGTTCTTTGTTTACAGGTACAACAGAATATCTCGGGAATGGACTCAGAAGTATGCCATGTGATGCTACCTTAAAGTCAGAATAACCTGCATTATAGCTGGAATAAACTTTAAATTACTGTTCCTTTTTTGATTTTCTTATCCGGCTGCTCCCCTATCAGACCTCATCTTTTTTAATTTTATTTTTTGTTTACCTCCCTCCATTCATTCACATGCTCATCTGAGAAGACTTAAGTTCTTCCAGCTTTGGACAATAACTGCTTTTAGAAACTGTAAAGTAGTTACAAGAGAACAGTTGCCCAAGATTCAGAATTTTTTTAAAAAATGGAGCATGTGTATTATGTGGCCAATGTCTTCACTCTAATTTGGTTATGAGACTAAAACCATTCCTCACTGCTCTAACATGCTGAAGAAATCATCTGAGGGGGAGGGAAATGGAGGCTCAGTTGTCGCATCAAAGGAAACAGCATTATTCTAGCAGCATCCATTCTTGTTTAAGCCTTCCACTGTTAGAGATCTGAGGTTACATGATATACTTTATGCTCATAACTGATGTGGCTGGAGAATTGGTATTGAATTTATAGCATCAGCAGAACAGAAAATGTGATGTATTTTATGCATGTCAATAAAGGAATGACCTGTTCTTGTTCTACAGAGAATGGAAATTGGAAGTCAAAACACCCTTTGTATTCCAAAATAGGGTCTCAAACATTTTGTAATTTTCATTTAAATTGTTAGGAGGCTTGGAGCTATTAGTTAATCTATCTTCCAATACACTGTTTAATATAGCACTGAATAAATGATGCAAGTTGTCAATGGATGAGTGATCAACTAATAGCTCTGCTAGTAATTGATTTATTTTTCTTCAATAAAGTTGCATAAACCAATGAGTTAGCTGCCTGGATTAATCAGTATGGGAAACAATCTTTTGTAAATGCAAAGCTGTTTTTGTATATACTGTTGGGATTTGCTTCATTGTTTGACATCAAATGATGATGTAAAGTTCAAAAGAGTGAATATTTTGCCATGTTCAGTTAAAAGTGCACAGTCTGTTACAGGTTGACACATTGATTGACCTGATTTATGCAGAATTAATAAGCTATTCAGATAGTGTAGCTTTAATATGCTGCACATGATACTGGCAACCCTGGAGTTCATAGATGGACTGGGGACCCAGCAGTTTTAAACATGTATATGGAGTTGAAGAAATTTATTTTCCAGGTGCAACCCCCATCTAACTAAATTTTTCTTCACCTTGTACACTTGACAGCTAAAAAAACCATAACATGGGAGTAATAATGGGTTTAAATTTACAAAATAAAGTACTGTTTGGTGTGGGAGTTGTCATGAGGTTATGTTGAAGTGACTTAACTGTGGGATATTGAGTATCCATTGAAATGGGTTTGTTCAGCCATTTACATTAATGAGCATTTAAATGCAACAGATATCATTTCAGGTGACCTAACATGAATGAATAAAAATCAATGCTATTGGATAATTTTTCGTTTGACAAGTGCTATGTGTGCCACTAATTTAACTTCTGTAGCAACAAGGGCATTATCATTCTTCACCCTTCCTAATTCTGACCATATAGTTTTACCCTTTTCCTAGTTATTTTGATTTGTCCATTGCTTTCTTACAATCTGTATCCGATTTCTAGCACGTCTGACCTTTCTCCACTTCCACATTTTTGCACTGCTTACACTTATGTGCAATCTTATTTCTTGTCTGCACACATGTGGAAAGCTAGATATAAAATAAATGTTAAAGCTTGATTTTTATAAACATTTTAATATGTAGTTTGGACATGATTTGTTGACTGAGATTCTCTAAACTGGAAGTGAAATGCATGCCTTCCGAACATGTTCTGGCTTTGTTAATTCTGTAATAAGCATTTCATTGAGGAATATCAATCTAACGACAATTTTTTCCAATGAGTGATGTTTTTCAATTTAATTTTTTTGCTTAAAAATTGACTCCTTAAGGGTAGGTGTCATACATTTAAAACTTTTGGATTCAAATTACAAATGAAAAGTTAACATACTGCTCTCTACAAGCTAAGATACACTGTCCTTTGGCTCTATTTTCAAAATATTTACTTTTGAGAATCTACTCTCAAAATAACAGCTTTAGTGGGCATATCATTATTTGAAAGCCAACCATCAAACACCTGCTGTTGGATCGCTAATTGGCTTTCAGATTGACCTTCTTAGCCATAGACAACTCTTAAGTGCTTATAGAGATGACTTTCTTACACCATTGATTGTTTAACATTAGATGTGTCTAGTTCTCTGTATCTGACTTGATTTCTACAACATTTCTATGTCACTTCTAAAGGAATGAGCCATAAAGGCTTCTCCAGGCTTAAGAGAACAGTAAAGTACATATCTGGAAACCAACATTTTTGAGTGTATGGACACTGGACTTGAGATCATCTCCAATGAAACCTTTAAAAGAATCCAAGAATTTGCCCTTTTATTCCCATTTACGTTACTAGTGCCATGTGTAGGACTCACTTGAATATTGGCAGGTTAAAAAATGATTTTGGTTCTTGTATATTTCCTATATCTTTTAATGCACAAACTCAAGTAGTTTCTGTAACCTATGAGAATTACAGTCCAGTGGACTTGCTAATAGTAAATTATATTGTGAGTGGACTCATTTTTGTTCCTGGGCAAGTTGGCAATGTGATACTCTGATTTTTTTTTTTTTTTAAATTCTAGTTTGCTTTCTCGTGTGGGTGTACTCACAATTTTTTAAAGTATGAATCACAACTAGTGGTCTCAGGGGTAGTGAACACTCACTTTTTTTTTTTTTTTAAATGGCTTAGTTGAAATATGCTTCAGATACTTACGCTGTATTAGTGATTTGGGGGGTGACTCAAATTAGCCATGTTTTGTATTGGCATAACAAAGCTGTTAAATGATTGTTGGTTACACTTTTAGGTGAATTTGTCTTCTATTTTATGAGGAACCCAGTGCAAGTCACTAAATATTGTCTAGTAACATCTGCATAACACTTGTAATAGCTAAGGTTAATTGAGCTTAAAGGAATTGTTACCATTAAAGTCTGTTTAAAGACACTTTGGTCTTACTCAGTAATTCCAGCTAACATGAAATTCACACTTTAACTTAATATTGTTTGTAAATTCTGTTTTGAACTTAGAAATTAAAAGTATAAAGAACTTAGGATAATGTCTCAAAAAGTGATCCCAAAACCAGTAATACCAGTATCATCTGGGAATTTTTTTTTTTTTTTTATCTTCCCCTGAGGATATGTTTCTATTGATTTGAGAGAGAAACATTGGTCAGTTGTCTCCTACAGGAGCCCTGACAGGATTAAACCAGCAACCTTTTTGGTGCACAGGACAATACTCTGACTAACCAAGCCACCCAGCCAGGGCCATTTGGGAAATTCTTTACAATGGAAATTTACTAGATGCCACTGCAGGACTATTACTGATTGAGAAACCATGGAGTGGCACCCAGTAGCCTGTTTTAAACCAAGCAGATTAATTCTGAAGTTTGTTCCTAGCTCTCTCCTTTATAATAATTCAGTAATCCTTGGACCCTAGAGTTATTTTACAACTCCTATTTCATGGCTACAAGAACTTCGATTGTATGCCCAAGTAGTACATTTCCATATAATTGACAAATTTGTACTTTGAATTACAAATGTAGGCTGATTGACATTTAAAATAATATACTGTAATTAATCTGAGTAACAAACATCCTGACATTCAAATTCATAACTAAGACCTTGTGGGGAGCGGCAGGGCGGTATAAGTAATTCAATCCAAGGTCTGGATAGTGTTGAAAGAGCAACTAGGTACAAAAGTGCTAAATGTTGGTTATCTAGCTGAACAAGGATTTGAACCCTGGCCTCATTCTGTGGTTTTTACATCTTTTTTTTTTTTTTTTTTTTTTTTTACTGCAACAGTGAGTTGTCATGTTAGGGGTGTTTGCAGTGTTACTGAAATTAACATTAAATATAGCTTAAGGCAGTTGGTAAAACCTTTCAATGTAATGGGAAAAGTAAATGGTAAAGGTGTTCGGAAATGGGATTTAAAAGCATGGCAGCTTCTGCCCCGCCAAGTGATGGAGAAACTTAAAAAATCAAAACTACAGTTTTCTAGAAAGGCTAGAAAAGATTGAAGTTGGCTGAACACTTGTTTTCTTTAGGACTTTTAATAATGACCACTTGCATTATTTTCTGCTAACCTATAAGTACTTTGTTGCCTCATTTTGAAGAATTTTTTATAATTAACTCTAGAACAGTGCTTCTGATAATTATCTCCAAGTTGTACACTATTTCTAGATGAACTTTTTACTTTGAGCCCTCTTGATTTTTTCATGTATTGTAGGAAATGGTTTTATGAATAACACTTTCATTTTTACATTTTATTGTCTGAGACTTTGTGTAATCTCGATTCCTTGTTTATCATATCAAATTTAAATGTCAAGGCCAAACAGTGGGAGTACTTTTATGCTCTGTTTACTTAACACAGTTAACCAACTGTCATTTGCTGACCCCCCAGCCATCTCTCCTGAACTGCTACCTGAAAGGGTACCTTTAAGATGTCTAAAGCTGACTTGATATCTACATACAGACATGTACACATGCATACCTGTTCTTGGCCTCAATAAATGACATTCAGTTGCACTGACCCCAAAAGTAGGCATCAACCTTGATTTCTCCACTTCTGTCAGTTCTAAATTTTATTCAGGACCTATCTGTTTACCATATTCACTGCTGCACAATGGTCTAAAGCTCCACCATCTCAGATTATTGCAATAGCTTACTGGGTGGTCTCCCAAATTCTTCACAGCAATCTACCACACAACACCTGGCATAATCCTTTTAAACTATGTCATATCATCCCTTTGCTACAAATCCTAATGGTTTCCCATCTCATTCAGAGTAATAGCCAAAATATTAATAGCAATTTACAGGCTGTATTGACTTCCCGCCACTTAATTTCTAATCACTGCTTGCCTCCACACCTTCCCCAACTCCCTCAGCGGTTACACAGGCCTCTGCTGAGACTTGAGATGTTTGCCCTGTTCTTCCCTTGCCTAGGATGATCTTAACCATAGATATCATATGGCTATCTCCTAATTGTTAGGTCTATGTTCAAATGTCAACTTAGAGTGGCTTTTGACTATCCTATATAATAAAAGGCATATGCAAATTAGCCTTGTCTGGGAGTTTGACCAGGGGGTGGGGCTGGCCAGCCAACTGTCCGCGGCCCCTCCTCCCATCCAGCCCCAGCCCCCACCGGCCCCCCTAACCCCATTTGGGGTAGGCTGGCCAGACCCCACCATTGTATGAATTCATGCACCGGGCCTCTACACTGAGTGGCCAGATTATTGTGACCACCTGACGTTTGTAGGCAAATTAGCTATAATTTTGTGCTGAAGTTGCTAGAGGGCCAGATCATTATAAACGTCTGAATAGCACAACACACCTAAGTATCATTGCTGATCAAGTTCATCCTATCATGTTGATGGCGTATCCCAATGGAGATGGCTTCTTCCAACAAGACAGTGTGCCATGCCACGGTGCTCGCATTGTGCAGGAGTGGTTTCAAGAACATGAGGGAGACTTTACCTTGCTTAGGACGCCCCCACAATCACCAGATTTCAATCCAATTGAGCATTTGTGGGACGAAGTTAAAAGAGCCATCAGGCAGCTGGTTCTACAACCATCAAATCTCACAGAACTGGACAGTGCTATTCATCAGGCATGGTGTCAGACTCCTCACATCACCTTTCAACATCTCGTGGAGTCAATGGCAAGAAGAATCACCGCGGTATTGAAGGCAAAACGTGGCCCAACGAAGTACTGATGGGATGGTCACAATAATCAGGCCAGTCATAATAATCTGGCCACCCAGTGTAGTTCTACATAAAATAGCAACACAGCACCACCATTGTAGAGTGCACCATGGCATATTCAGTATTAGCCACCTTACATGTAATATTTATTGTTTCTCCTCAACTTCACCCCAGAAGACAAAGTATAAGAACAGGGTTTTGGTCTGTGTTCTATATCCCTCAGTGACTAGATGAGGACCTTGCACATGGTTACAGTGCTCAGATATTTAATAATGAATGTGAGCTTAATGGTAGACTTTGCCAAACGTATTTCTTGCTTTTTTTTTTTTTTTACTCCAAAAGTACAGAAACATATGCAACATGCTATAGAAAAAATAATAAATGGAACATTCTTTACTCTCTACTACAAGTTAAATACCACCATAGCAAATAGATGGACATTTCCATTTCTATCAGTATGGATAATTACCCTGACCAACTGTCTTGTGAAAAAGCAATAAATCATGCTGGGGAAAACTTTTTAAATATATTTTTATTGATTTCAGAGAGGAGGGGGGAGAGAGCTAGAAACATCAATGATAAGAGAGAATCATTGACTGCCTCCTGCATGCTCCCCACCGGGAGTCGAGCCCACAACCTGGGCATGTGCCCTGACCAG